TCGTGATTCACCTGTCTCAGCCTCCCAAAGTGCTGGGATTACAGGCGTTAGCCACCACACCCGGCCTAGAAATCTTTTTATACTTGTTATCCTACATGCTTCCTTACCCTACCCTCTTTTTTCTCAAAATAACTCATTTCTTAATCAGAAGTTTACTTAAATTTAGCAGTTCTACTTAAAGTGAAGTGTTTCTGTTTCTCCCAAACACACACACACGCACACACACGCGCAGAGAGAAAGAGAGAGAGAGAGCGAGAGAGAGAGAGAGAACTTAAAATCAGCAGACTATTTATTACATAGTCCAGATTGTCTACTCTAGAATATAGGTAATGAACAGCTGTGCCACCAGAACAGAGAATTGATAGACTTTAATGGATATTAAATAAAACATGGAGTAATTGAAAGGCTAGAAGTAATGTGATACTAACATAACCAATAGGCAAAAGACTGCTGAAGTGATAGCTATTTAGAATATATGATATAGAGAAGTAATATGAAAAAATCTACAGGAGCAAAGTCCTTTTCACAACTCTCACGTTTTGGATGTTAGACATTTGTAGAAAAAAAATTGCAAAGTTGTAGGATTCGAAGAGTTCTAGATTTGCCATTAATGTTTAAGCAGAACAAAAGTTGAATCGGACAAAAAACATGACATCCCCACCCATTTTGTTTAGACTGACTATAAAAAAGACTTTATTATGATCTTCGCAGCACCCATCTCAGACCACATCTTTCCATGGTTCTCATGAACCTTAACCCCTCCTATTAAATCTTATACTTCCCGCTTTATTGTCACTATAGATGTGAGAAAGGGTTGATGGTCATCTTTGTTTACAAGTCATTACAGGTTTGAACAAATTCAAAACTGCCTATTATTAAGCCTCCCCAGAAGCCACTGGGCATAAGCAAACCTGAGATTTTATAACTCACCAATTATCCTATAGAAAACAGTGCAGATTATTATATTCTGCCAAATGTTTATTCATACTTGACTCCAAAAGTTATCAATTATTCACAGGGATAATCTAGAAAATAAATATTAGTTTTGCTTTCAAAGACAGTACTGGGATGAGCAGGCACTTTCATGTTTGTTATATTAATTAACTTATTATTTAGTTTCCCTGTCTGCTTAGAAATTGAGCTGTTCAGGTTGAAAAATGATGTAAGAAGCAAAAACTATGACACAACAATTTAAATAAAGGTCACTATTGCTGTGAAATGGGATGTCAGTTTTGCAATTCTTCTGCACTTTCCCACCAAGCTGGGATGTGGGTGAGTCTAGAGATATTTGTGAAATAAGCCAATTTGAAAGGACACCACAATCCGTCAAAAGCGACTTTCTTCCTCTTCCACAGCACGATGAAGGCCAGGGATAAATTTCAAGAGTTGCTTCCGGACACTTCCCTTTCTGCTCTTCCGGGGCAGGGTCCCAAACGCGCTTGAGAAGTTGCCCTCCCACAAGGGAGACATGGATCCGCTGCTGGTGTTACTGATGCTCCGGTTCCTCCTTGAAGACGACCTCCTCAGAAAATCATCCCCCTCCTTGGGGATAAAGCACTCATCATCTGTGCTCGTCTGCCGACTGAAGGCACCCCTGCTGGAGTCCTCAGACACACACGTCTGGTAGCCATCTTCACTGTCCATAGTCATGGAGCTCAGCCAGCTCTTACAGCTGCTCTCACTGGATAATCGATTCCGGTCCACGAGGGCTGGGCCTGGCCCAGGCAGGGGTCCAAACAAAGACAATTCATCCAAGTCCATGTTTTCCAAACTGGGGCAATTAGCTGCATCACCTAGAGCACAGAGAACAAAGTCTACTGTGAAATGGACCTGTTCATCATTTCCTACAAATAAATACGCTGCATCAAAACTTCTCTTTGAATGACACAAGAAAGAGTAAGTGTGAAAAATACTTTTCACTGAGCTTTGGCGTGCATGAATAAGTAACTGTTTATGAGGCCATTTGATAAACCGTATAGTAGGGTTTCCTGAACTATTGTTCATAGACCAAGGTTCCATGGTCACAAAAATTATAATATTAGAATAAATTTAAACAAGATGTTTCATATGAGAACAGTTCAACCCAACTGACAGTCTACCAATGTGACATCTGAATCTCCAAAATGATCATTTCTTCAATTTAAATAACCCTGAAACCTTTTATTATAATTCTCACAGAAATGGGGTTCCATAGAATACACCTGGGAAATGCTATCATGATTTTCTCCATTTAGTTTCTCTGATTGTTAGGTACTGTCTTTTGAAAATAATTCTAAAATTATTATAAAATCATTTGAGGTATATAGAAAAAATTATGGAACAGATAATTCATAAGTGTTTCTTAGAGAAAGGATTTGTGAAATCAAATGTATCTTCCAACCTCAATATTCCAAGTTTCATTTTGGAATACTTAAATTCTCTGGAATGATACTGTACCCAGAAAGCATCCTTGTCCTCAAGTAAGTAATAATTTATTTGAAGAAATTGAATTGTATCTGCTTGATTATATTTTTTTCATTGATCCTTCACAACATACATCTGGCTCTTCAAACTAGAATGTTAATCACATACCAATACCCTGTCCATACGACCCTCCCTGCTTCCACACTAACTGAGTTGGTTGGTATCGAGAGAGAGAGAGAGAGAGAGAGAGAGAACTTGTAATACCAGCCTTGGAAAAACATAATCAGTAAGTGACTCTGCTTCAGAAAAAAAATAATAGAATACTGCACACTCCAAAATGGTTTTATTTTGTACTGATTATCTTTACTGCTGCTCTCTTTTGTCCTTGGTTGATAATATAAAAAGAAACTATTTTTTCAGATGATTTGCAAGGTTGAGTACAACCAGCCCCACAGTGACTGGTCATAATGCTTTCCTTTTTGCTAATACAACCTACTTCATTTCATCTTGCAATAAGTGATGAATTTCTTTTGATTTGAGAGCAATTGCCTTATAGAATTACATGCCCTGGATGTTTACTATGCATCTAGAAAAAGCAGAACTCCCTCAATTGCTCAAAAAAATGTATACAACAATGCCTTTATGAGGACCCTGACCTAACAATGTTGTCTATAATACAAGGCCATTCCTATAGAACAGCAAGAATTTATATTCACTGGGCCATTCAGGATGCTCCAGAAGTGGAAATGAGGCTAAAAAGCCCTCACATCTAAAGAAAGCAAGGAGGTGGCTGAATTTACAAGGCCACAAAGAAGTTTTTGTATTAAATACTTCTGCTTCTCTAACAAACTTCACTACCCAAAAAAGCTATTATGAATTTTTTAAAAATATTAAATGAAAATATAAAAAAGACAAGTAACTTGTTTGTAAGTTTCAAACACTTCAATAAAAAAACACAGAACTTTATATCAGAAATCTAAGCCATAAATTAGTGACTAGTTAGGGATTAAATTGTTATCTTTTTGGTAAACAAATTGATTATCACTTTTAATGAATATTCTAGGTTAGAGACTTAAGCTGGTGCTATTCAAAGAAGAGATAACCTATATTTCGCACCCACATAGTGGTTTCAGTGAATTATTTGCACACAAAAGTTCATTCCTTTGGTTACATCTGTCACACAGCAAATAGCAAATTAACACATTTTAAACTCAACCCTTCCCTTAAAAATGCACTCAATGGCAAGAGCCATGCATTTACTGTTGTAATAATCTTACACATTTCTGTCTTGGTCTTGGGGGCCATGAAAAAGAAATTCTCTGAATAAACGCAACTTATGCAATTTAAACAAAAGACAGGAGCTCTACCCAATAAGTGTGCAACCATTCCAGCTTTAATAGCTTCTAGAAACTATACAGCCCCGAGCCACGATTTTTTCAGAAACGTAATTCATTCACTGAAGTAGAAGGAAAGTCAGGCAATCTTCCCCAATGATCTTCTAAAATCTCCAGATGCCTGTTTTTGAGCGTGTGCATCAGTGTGCATGTGCGCATGCGCATCTGCGTTGTGTGTGTGTGTGTGTGTGTGTGTGTGTGTGTGTGTGTGTGTGTATAGAGTAGTGGATCTGACTTGCCTTGAGCCTCCTCCAAATACAGCCACTCCAAAGCTCATGCCAAAGAAACACAGACCCGTTTCTTTGACCAGCACTAGTCAAATTTTTCTTATAATGATGATAATCTTAAAACAACTTAGAGGCAGAAATACTGAAAGAAGTAATGTTAGTGTGGTTTCTGAACAGGAAATTGCATTTACCATGAAGCAGACGATGTTCCTGTAACTGCAGAGATCTGTACTCCACCCATTTTTGTTTCAAAGTTTGCTGTGAGATTAAAAAAAAAAAGTTTTTATTATTAGGAAACCCCAGTGAAGCTAGCAATTTAATTCTAGGTGTTGAGATTTGTCATTAAAATTTTTTACCTTTCTTTCTAGTACTACCAATCCATCTCATCCATTTAAAATATTTTTGCTGTATAAAAGGAGGATATTGGGCCAACAAGCTTTCTTTGAAAAAAAACAATAAAATATATTTTTATTTAAAAAATTATTTTAAAAAGATTATTTGCGTCTGTGAAAATGTACTTGCTGTTTAGGCAAGCAATTATACTCCAGGATTCCCACATCTGTAGGATGAAGATAATAATAGAGCCTAAACCCTGGAAATGTTATGAGGATTAGATGAGTGAATAGATGTACAATTTTTAGAACAGTGACTAGACCTTAGTTAACGCTCTACAAATATCATCATCAACATACAAGCCTGAAGACCTCCACCTCCCAGGTTCAAGCGATTCTTCTGCCTCATCCTCCCAAGTAGCTGGGATTACAGTTGCGCCCCACCATGCCCAGCCAAATTTTTGTAATTTTAGTAGACATGGGTTTCACCATGCTGGCCAGGCTATTCTCGAACTCCTGACCTCGTGATCTGCCCACCTCGGCCTCCCAAAGTGCTGGGATTACAGGCGTGAGCCACCACACCTGGCTTGGACAGCTATTTATTTTCCACACCAAAAAAGAGAACAGAACTGTCTGAAATGCTTCCTTAGTGGGCTAAACTTAGAACACTGCTAAGTACCCTAACTTGTTAACTGCTTCCCTTCTTGGCTGCCCCAGCACAGGAGAGCTGAGGCCCACAGTGGAAACTAAGTAGCTGCCACATGGGTCAAGACAGCACACAAGTCCTGGCCTATCCCACAGAGGGGACTGAGGCAATGGCAATGTAAAACAAACCAGGCAGAAGGCATCTGAAAAAAACACAGCTATAGGCTCACTCTCTCCCATTCTTTATCGTCTCCTCTTCCCCTTCCTTTGCCAGTTCAGGTCCCTATAGCGAGCCCAGCAAGTGGGCAGAGCTCAGGTTTGCCTGTGGACTCTTATGCCAAAGGAAAGACAGCCTAGTTGAAACAAGCAGTCCTTCCCACAAAGCAATCTGCAAGGAGTAGATGAAGGCTAAAAAGGAAGAGGAAAAAATGTATATTTAGGGAAGGATTAAGGGAAAGAAAATAATAAAATTGCAAGAACATCATTAAATGCTTGAGGGGAACATGGCTTATTCCTCAGTCTTCAAAGATTGAACAATAACTGGGCAGAATTTTCTAAACCTTGATACTAGTAACATTTAACAGCAACCCTTATCGTTGCCAATATAAAATCGAGCAATAAATCAATCAAATGCTTGACTCAGTCAACTTCTTGTTCTTTCTGTACCATAATATAGTCTAGAATAGCTATAATACTGCTTTGAGGGCTGAGGGCAGTGGCTTACATCTGTAATCTCAGCACTTTAGGAGGTTGAAGTGGGAGGACTGCTTGAGACCAGGAGTTTGAAACAAGCCTGGGCAACATAGTGAGACCTTATCTCTACAAAATTCTTTTTTAAATTAGCTGGGTATGGTGGTGCACACCAGTTCTTAAGAGGCTGAGGAGGCTGGGCACGGTGGCTCACACCTGTAATCCCATCACTTTGGGAGGCTGAGGCTGGTGGATTGCCTGCGGTCAGGAGTTGGAAACCAGACTGGTCAAAATGGCGATACCCCATCTCTACTTAAAATACAAAAATAAGACGGGTGTGGTAGCAGGCACCTGTAGTCTCAGGTATTCGGGAGGTTGAGGCAAGATAATCGTTTGAACCCAGGAGGCAGAGGTTGTGGTGAACTGAGATGGCGCAATTATACTCCACCCTGGGCAACAAGAGCAAAACCCCGTCTCAAAAATAATTAATTAATCAATTAATTTTTTAAAAAAGAGGTTGATGTAGAAGGATCACTTAAGCCCGGGAGGTTGAGGCTGCAGTGAGTTGTGATCATGCCACTGCACTCCAGCATGGGCAATAGGGTGAGACCCTGCCTCCAAAAAAAAAAAAAGGACTGCTATGCTATCTTATTCCCAGCTTTTAACTACGTAAATCTGTGGTTATACAAAGGTCAAAATTAGGGACATAGGGACTATAAGGCAACAAGTACCTGGCATACATACCAAACCCTTTCATCTTTCTTAAAGAGATTTATTTCCTACAGGAGACTAGAGTTCAGTGGAGGAGCATAGGGATAGGTCAGTAAAAACTAGAGACAGAAAGAAGAGGAAGTTACATTTCTGCACTTACTATCTAAAAATACAACGTCAGCACTGGCCATATAGTCAATTTTTGGAAAAATACTGGTGTTGCAATATCTGATTTGTTGATTTGGCCCAGTCATTTCAGTTTGTCGTCACTTAAACCAAGAAAATACCAGTGTAAAGAGCAGATGTGTCAGAGTGACTAAGGGTTTTTCAACTGTAACCAAGCTTCCCTGTTTTTCTTTGGGTCTGTTTCTGCCTGTATTACTGACATCACAATTGTATATTTGGACATATCTGAGCTCTCATTAGATGAGAATTAAAGCACAAGTGAGATCTAACCCTGCTGGGCAGCATCACCTCACTGTGCCCAGTTGAGTGCCAGCTACATAGCAGCTGCTCAGTAAATAACGGTTGAATGAATACATGAAAAAAATGGCTTCCTAAAACAACTGTCAGCTGTCACACATTGGTTCCAAAGAAGTTTGCAATGCTTTCAATCTACAGGATTGAAATACAGCTGAACATTTCCATGGCACTTTAGTACTTCAGTTGCATTTTCACTGATAACATGATATTTAATTTTCATAACTTCCCTAAAAAGTAACATTCAAAAATGAATATTCAGTGTAACAAAATATTTCCCAGGCACTACACACCCAGTAAATAGCAGAAGTAGATTACAAACTAGCTCGCCCAGCTAGCCCATTGGATGTGCTGTTTTCATGTTAAACATTTGAATCATAGGTCAGAAGAAAGGGAATCCCTGAAAATGTGGATCAGAAAGGACCACTGTTTCTAAAGAAGAGCCCCTGGCCCCAAGAAGAGTCTTTGAGGGAAAGAATGCTCACTTACACAGGACGCACAAAGTAAATGTCATTGTGTGGAGGGGAAACCAGCCTGACTTTGGCTATGGGTCAGACCAAGACATTTCTGGCTCAAGAGATAAACGGAATCTCATAATTTCAAGATTAGAAACAGGACAGACATGCAAGATAGAAAGCAGAATGAAACTTAAAGTCTTCTGGACACAGACAAACAGAAAGAAATTTTTTGGCAATATATGGTTTAAATGCACCTATCTGAAACACAGGTCTGAGCCAGGTTTTCTGCTTAAGAAAAAAACATTGGCTGAAGCTCCATCACTGGGAGAGGAGGCTGAGAAAAGCTGATGCTGCTGGCTATGGCTCATGTAGAGCTTGTATGAAGAAAGGCAGGAGTACCTAAGCACAGCCTCATGGCTTGAGCCAAACAGCTCACTGAGTCTCCAGGGAAGGCATTTAAGCCCCCAGACCTGGCTCTGGATTGGTAGCCTTGAAATGCTGAGTGGGGGCAAGCATCCAATTATCACTTTGTGCTGAAGGGAGAGGCTATATGCCATGCAAGGGAAGTAGGCAATCTAAATCCCCAGACACTCACAGATATTTAATGATAAAAAAGGTTTTAAAATTGATAATTTGTACATGGATTCTCTAAATCAAATGAAAATAGAAAAGTGTTCAAGGCCTGGTGTGGTGGCTCATGCCTGTAATCCCAGCACTTTGGGAGGCCTAGGCAAGCAGATCACCTGAGGGCAGGAGTTCGCGACCCGCCTGCCCAACGTGACAAAAACCCTGTCTCTACTAAAAATACAAAAAATTAGCCGAGTGTGGTGGGTGCCTATAATTCCAGCTACTCCGGAGGCTAAGGCAGGAGAATCCCTTGAATCTGGGAGGCGGAGGTTGCAGTGAGCCAAGATCATGCCACTGCACTCCAGCCTAGGTGACAAGGGCAAAACTCTGTCTCAGAAGAAAAAAGAAAAGTGTCCAAAAAAGACTTTAAAATAAGAATGTTTCTAATCCTCTGAGAGATAAATAAAATCAATGTTTATAAGAACAAGAACTTTGGAATGAAAAAAACAAGAACAGATAGACATGAAAAAGAACTAAGAGATAATAACAAAGTAATTTTTATAACTCAATAGAAAGAACACATTCTACACAGAACAGCTAGCAAGAACATTTCTGGAGATGTTACTAAAGAATTCAGAAATAATGTAACACAAAAATATAAATAAAGACCTATGAAATAGTCATTAGGAAGCATGAAAGATAAATCAAGAAACTATGTCTAATATGAATTCCACAAGGTAATACAGGAGTGGTATAGAAGGTATATTCCAAAAAGATTGAGTTGATAGTTTTCCAAAGCTAAAGAAAGTCTTTGAGCAGAAAGAGCACTATAAGTTCTACATAGTATAAATTTAGAAATGAATCCAGAACTAATTACATTGTAGTAAAACCATAGATCAATAAGGACAAAAGAATATCTTAAAGCAACCAGAAAAAGGTTTAAAGATGTCCACAAATATTGGTTTTCTAGAAGATCCAAAAATAGAAAATTCTGTAGAGAAAATTATCAAGAAAAAAAAGAAGCATAAAAAGTGGTATAAGATGCAAGAAAAAAATGGGGTACACTCAAACAATTTTTGACAAAAATTTAAAACATCAGAATAATATTTTACCATCAACTCAGTTAACAAATTTAAAAACTTTGTTAACAAAAGTATAAGTCACTAAAACTGGCTTTAAAAAAAAAAAACAGAAGTCCTGAGTAGTCTCTCAACTAATAAAGAAATTGAAACAGTTCATTAACAGTATTCCCATCAAAAAAGAATCCTAAACCAAGATGATTCAGATGGTATTATTAAAATTCTGCCAGAAAATAAGAAGAGGAAAACAGGTCCTGCTAAGAGTCTAGTAAACTTGATACCAAAACTTAAAAAGATAATCTAAGAAAAGAAAATTACAGGCCAGTCTACCTGAAAAATGAGACTATCTTTCAAAATCCTAAATAAAATATTAGCAAATCAAATCTGTAATTACATTTACAAATTATAAATTTCAAGGATAAGCCAGGTTGGGTTTATCCTAGAAATGAAATGGTAGCTTTATACTAGAATATATTTGAATTTCATTCACATATTGACAGAATTTTTTCAAATGAATAAATGAGAAGACCAGCTTAATAGATGCAGAAAAAAGTATTTAATAAAAGTTAATGCACAAGCACTATAAACACTACCAGCAAACTTCGTATAGAAGGGAGTCTCCTTACTCTGAAAGATAGCTCATTCCTAATAGAAAAGAAATTAGGAAGAATTTTCTTTAAAATCAAGAATAAAACAAGGATGCCTACAACTATGGTTTCTATTCATTGTTCTGTGGTAGCTCCTAAGCTGTGAAGTAAGGTAAGAAAAAGAACCAAAACTCATTCCTAACAGATAGTTATTATCGCTACAGTAAGTCCAAAATAATCT